GTGAGGGGGTAAAAACCCGGACAATATGGTTTGGCAGCCTAAGAAACCCGAAGAGGCAGGTCTGCAGGGTCGTCTACTAATGAATCAATTCCTACTCAGCGGCCCTAGAAGACAGCGTAGACCTGCCCCTGAGGGCTTCTGACTTGTAACCCTATCCTGGAGCAGACAGCCTCGTCTTCCTGCCGAGGAGAAGCGAGTGGCTTTGAACTGCCGAGCTTGCCCATTAGAAGCCCAACACTCTAACTCACTGGGCCACCAGGCTCCTTTCTGCCCTGCAGGGTCACTAAGAGAGAATCCACTCTGACGGCTGTGGGTTTGTTCATTTACCTACCAGGAGCAGTTTGCAGGAACCCCCTCGCAGGGCCAGAATTCCCAAAGTACCTCATGTATGTCCAAACCCATTCCCAACTCACTAAGCTGGAGCCCACTCTGACTCGGATTTATAAACCATTGGGTTTCTAAAGGGGTCTTTTCAGAGACAGATGGCCACGCCTTTCTCCTGTGGAGCCCTTGGTAGCTTTAAACCCCAGTACACCAATAGCCCTGGCAACCAGCGCCCCATCTTTGACCACACCCCTATGCTACTGAGAAGGTCCTCCCCAATCAAAGGAGGTCTGCCTGCAGGAGCGGGATGAAGCTCTTTTTAAAGGGGCCGCTGGGGATGCAAGGTGGGCGCCCTACCCGGCCTAGGTATTTCCAATCCAGCAGGTCGGACAGGCGCTCCGTGCGATTCCGCTGGATGATGCGCTGCCGCCGGCTCTGCTGGCAGAAGCTGTAGAGGAAGGAGGTGAGCTGCGAGCAGGAATCGTCCAAGCTGCGGAAGCGCCGGTCCAGGATGTAGATGCCTACGGGGCCGGGACGGGGTGGGGTGGGGGCTCAGAGGAGGTGGGCATCCAGGCTGCCTTCCCCTCTTCTCCCCAGCTTCCCTCCTGGCATCTGAGCTCTCAGTGGCCCTTTCCCAAGGGTACTGACCGTAGGCTGAGGGGTCAGCGATGTGCTCTTCCATGAAGCAGCCAAAGCCTGACAGGTTGGTGGAAATACTGGGGATGCCCATGAC